TCTTTAATTTTTAATTCGGTAAACTTTGATATTGACTGCTTTGACCTTCTCAACAAATTATATTTTTTCCCTCCTAGATAATCAACTCGTTCCCGCCTCTGATTTTGTCTGCCAACACCTCGCCTTAATATTGAAAAACACTCACCTATTAATGGGTAATCAATACAACCCGTTTCAGAACGCTTTCGGTATATTTAGATTTTTTTTCTTCTCTTTGTGACATCTCATAAGTTTTTTCCCTATTCAATGCAATTAAAATTACTTTTCCTTTTGAAATTGCTTAACAGTTCCTGTCTGGGTAAAACAGTAACTTAGCTGTTTATTTATGTTAGCAATTTGTTGTTGGTCTGTAAATGGGGCGTTGTCCATTACTACCACACTTTTAAAATTCTCAAATTCAAATTACATTATCCTGTATTCCCTAAGATTCGCCGCAAAAGAGAAAATCGTAAGTTCAGTCATCAGCCAATCATGTGATGGGTCGAGCATAAGACGGTGCATTTCCAAGGTTTTTCATAAGATTTTTACTTCCCGGGTATAAGGGAAGTATTGCGATAAGGTTCATTGAACCATTGACTAATTTTATGTTGTAACTCATAACTTATGAAAAAGTTGGTATATTTTAGGGTTATCTAGATAGTAAAATGCTTACCCCAATTTGGCTGATCATCCCCAGCACCAATTTGATAACGTCGTCTCAAAATTTTGATATTTAATTTCTATTAATATTTTGTAAAACAATATGTTTCTATACTTGTGGTTGATCAATTCGTCCTTATTTTGACCTTACAACTGTTGATTTTTGGAAAAAAAAAAAAAACTTTACAATACTTCGACATTGTGCAATTTAATTTTCCAATGACAAAATCGACTGCTCATTTATGTTTTGAAATAAATCGTTCATCACATTTTATCTGTTTACGTACTATCAAAAATTCGGTGGAATTATATCTAAAATATCCAAAATATATATTGTGGGCCTGCACTTGTGGTTACCAATATATGTACATCCATTTTTTTAATTTGCTCATATACAAATTTTTATTAAACTCACTTGAGACACCCAGCAAGCTAGCTTGGTTTAAAATTATCGTCTTATTTTGGTATATAAAGCTTTTATTATACTATGGAAGGTATATAAAATCTGTTTGAAAATTATAACAGTGTAAACTATGTATAGAGTCATTTACTACAAATACACAAGAATATGTTCTGCTTCAGGAGAAGTAAACATTTGGCTTTTCATATAAAACTGAACGAAACAGTCTAAAGGCGAGAGATAGATATCAAGTATTTAACGTTATTGTGTACTGGCTGACCCCGTGAACTTCGTTTCACCTACAATTTAATTTTGAATCTGCAAAATCGAATGCTTTGAAATCTTGCAGATGTTTTAAACATATGATAAGCATAATAAATTTTTATTCAAAATATATTTACTTATCCCCTCCAAAAAATTGATGACGTCAGCCCAAAATTTTGCCAAATGAATCCTATCTAAAATGTCCAAAATAGGATGAGACTATACTTGTGATTTATCATTCCATTCATATTTTTTAGTTTTGGTTATAGGGGGTGTCTCAAAAAAATGAATCACTAAGTCAATTTATTTTATTGATTGAATCAAGAATTGCAAAACTGAATTTTGAAATATTGCAGAGGTTTTGAAGTTACTGTTTGACATGCTAGGTTTTCAAACAAAATATCTCTGTTTATCAAGCCCAAAAACTTGAAGACGTCATCTCAAGATTTTGCCGAATAAATCCTATCTAAAATGTGGAAAATATCATCAGTATATTTTCGTAATTTATCATTGCATTCATATTTTTTAGATTTGCTTTTACAGTGACTCAAAAAAATATATGGATCAGTCAATTTATTTTAGTGAATAACTCAGGAGTTGCAGAAATGAATACTTTGAGATCTTTCAGACGTTTTAAAGTTATTGTAAGTATGGTAAATTGTTAACGATATTTATTTATTCCCCCTAAAAAATTTATGAAATGGCTCACTCGATTTTCGCAGATAATTTTGGGAATACAATACAGTTATTTTTAGTATTACACTGCACCAATCCAAGGTGGTATACGTGTTGATCGTAAATGTTGATTAAAATTGTGTGAAGAAAAGACTCAACTCGAAAATGCTGAATATGTTTCATTATACTTTTGGTGCGAAGGAAGTTCTGTCGAAACAACGTTCGATCAATTTTTTGACAATGGTTGATATAAATAAAACTCAGTAGATGCTCATACTCGAAATACGAAGTATCTACTCGAATATCAAATCAAAATATTTCTAGTTTTTCTAGATGATACTAATACTTCAGTAAGTAACAGTTGATGCTCAAGTAGCATCTCGATACAACAAAAAAGGACAACAGTGACAGTGTTCAACCATCAAAGCAAAAATCGAGTCACCAAAATATAAGTTAGTATGGGTTAGACACCTTGAGATGGGAATCTCTATGGCCAGTGTTATAAAAAACGCACTGCACAATTTATGCATAAATAAAAGTTAATTAGCTGAAAAGTTTTCGATATTCCCGCTCCTAATGTGTTTTTCAAACTGAATGCACCTTTTGACGACGTTCCACGTTCATGAAAGTCGCCATGTTTAGTTAAAATTCACTCTTACAACGATCCTACTGGTTTTCTAAACTGCTTTACAGACAGCTCAGTTATTTGCCACGCCGATCCTCATTTTTAGATTAAATGCTCACAAAACGCGTAGATGTTCAATTTGTGTCCGGGGAGATACAATGTTTCCAAGTAGGTACTCAGTACATAAAGTAGATGCTCAGGTATATAAGAGTAATAATGAAGTAGGTACTTCGTACTTTGAATATTAGTTTCTACTCAGTTTTATTCATACCACCCAATGTCTCGCTTCAATGTTTGATTATGTTGATTATGAGCACAACGCTGATCAACTTTCATATCCGAATTACCCATGAAATAAATCATTGCGGTTTGCACCTGAGGTAGTTCGTCGCACATTTGATTGACTTCGTGGACCTATGTGAGCTTGTCGTCTTCTCGGCATTTTAATGAACTTCATAAAACGACACAGAATTATTTTCACAGTCAATCAAATCTGTAAATTTTGTCTTGAGAATTTTAAAATATTGAAAACTTCAAATTAAATCCTCGAATAACGGTAAAGTTTGAAGTTTTGTCGAAACCAACAAATAAATATAGGTAAATAGAATGGCAGATCAAAATGAATAACAAACTTTCGCAATGTGTAATTAAATTCACTTTAACCAAGACTTTTCTTAAATTAAACGACGTTTTTCTTTACGAAAAAACAAAGAACGATTTGAAATGCAATATACTTTTCACAATTGCACGGAAGAATTAGTTTTGTATGACACGTCAGTTAGACGTCCGGTCCGTCAGAAACGCCAACTATTGAAATTAATTCGAAGTGGCGATTCCCATACAAAATTTTTAGAATTTTTTTATTTTTTAACTGTTCTTTTAAGTTTTCCTTATTTTTTTTATTTATAAACCATCCCCGTAATATAAAAAATTCTTCAAATCGGTCAAGCCGTTTTTGAGTCTTAGCGAGACTAACAGGAACAGCAATTGATTTTTATTATATAGACGATTAAAAAATGGGGGTTGATGGTAGAAAGGTGAAAATTTAGGGTTATGTGTATTTTTTGATGCCAATTCTTAAAAAAATAAAAATAAAAAATTTTGTCCAAAAAATAGACCAACATTTTTTAGGGTGGGCCACCCTTATCATTTAGGGGTTTAAAAAATAGTTTACAACCTATTCTCAGACCTACCGAATATACATAAAAAATTTCATACAAATCGGTCAACCCATTTCGGAGAAGTTCGGTTACAAACACTGTGACGCGAGAATTTTATACATAATGCATTATTATTTTAGAACAACTTTCATTACCATAAAAAAGGTTATACTGACTCGACCTTAAAAGATAGACATATGCTGTCGCAGACTTTTCTTTAGAACTTTTAGAGGGGAACAATTTCGTCATACATGATTTTTACGTAACTTTAACCGTTTAAGCAGCGTAAGCAACGGAAGCTGTCAAAGGAGGAATAATTTTCCCGTTTTTCCGAATTTTTCATTGCTACTTCGCTCCTAATGATCGTAGCGTGATGTTATATAGCCTATATGTAGATATGATACATGGACTATCCAACACAAAAAGATTTTTTGAACTTGAACCAGTAGTTTCTGAGATTAGCGCGTTCAAATAAACAAAAGCTTCAGCTTTATTATATAAGTATAGATGAAGATATTGTTACGTTGATCGGTGAATAAAATCGGCGTGGATAAAACTCAACAATTTACAAAATAATTCCGGCGCACTTCACTGGACTCTGTTGACTCTACTGTCTGAATAATAATCTTTCTCGACGGTGGCCTCTATTTAAACCTATCGTTCCTCTCGATGGTTCGAGAACGCCGCTTCGAGGGTTTTCTGGGTCCGTTGCGACATCAGCTTCCAGGCTGTCATTTAGCAAACGCCGCGCCGCCCGGCCGATGAGTCATACCACATACTAGAAGAAACACATACATATTAGAAGACCCATGGGCGTCGTACTGGGGCGGCGTATGGGTTTATTTCGTAACAATATATTCTGTATGTGATTACACCGGGTGTCTGGAGAATGGTGGATTAACTCTTCAGTACGTTGTGCACGGGGTAATAATAAAAACATTCTTTATGAGATTCCAGCTTTTTTTATGACAAATAACATGGGTATAATATTTTTATTTGGAATTGTTTTACCATGGTAAACCTCAGGTATTTTATCACAACGAGTTTTTGTCGTTTTGGGGAAACACTGAGAAGAAACCACAACCTTTAGAAGTGGTGGCCGTCGTTTCCCTGATACCTATGTGTAAAAAACCTTCATACAACTTTGGAAGTTAGAAAGAAATTACCTACCCAAAATGATTCATTTTAGAAAGAAATTACCTACCCAAAATGATTAATTTTAGAAAGAAATTACCTACCCAAAATGATTAATTTTTTCTCGCAACAGTTCTATGTGAATCATCCTTTTAACAATTTCTGGAAAACGGATCACTTCTTGGAATACATTCACGCTTTCCTTTTCTTAATTGAAAACATTCTCGTTTCGCAGAACTTTAGCGAACATTTTTTGGGGTGATATATTTCTTGGCAAAATGCAAGTTTAGGGTAATAGAATGAGATGGGATGACAGTTCGAAGTTCATCGTTCAATAGAGATAACATCTTTAAGAAATCGTAAGTAATTAGCAGTAGGAGAAATTATCTTGTAGTCTTCTTCATTATTACAGTCCAATTGGCTCTTTTCTTTTGTAATGAGAAATTCGTATGAACGAGTTTTTTGAATGTTTCGAAGAAAACAACTTGAACCACTGTAGATTGTTCAGCTTCCTATTCTTCTCCAGTTTCTTTTTGAAAATGATCTAGCAGTATCTCAAAAAAATTTGAATATTCTGGTAACTGCACAGTGCGCCACTTATAATTGCATATTATCTAGTAAACGCAGTAAATGCGTCCTTTATAAAATAAGTGGTCCGTTTTATTAATACGAGATACTTTTTTAGGATTCCCAGCGACCTGGAAAACCGGGAATAATCTGGAAATATCAGGGAAAATCTGAAAAAGTCCTGGAGAAATTTCGGTTGTTCATAAATTTGATATTTGAATTTTATTCTTTTTCCTTAGCGAGAGAAATTGTCGGAAACCGAACGAGTACCGAACGGCTGTGCTGAATTATCCCCGGGTGCACTTGGTTCGTCACCTTGTTTTTTCATTCCTAGACGTATTATTTTTGTCATCATTTTCACTATTGTTACGTTGCTCGGGCGAATAAAAATTGGCGTGGGTAAAACTCAACAATTTATTCCTTACTAACTCGATATACACGACTAACTGTTACAGTGATTAATAATCCCTGTTCCCGACGGTGGCCTCTATTTAAACCTATGCGTGCCTCCCGATGGATCCAGAACGCCGCTTCGAGAGATTTCTGGGCCCGCAATCGAGACTTCCGGTAAGCCGCTCCAAACTTGCCTACCGATGATTTTTAAGAAGTTAAAAAATGGTCAAAATTTATCAGATCATAAAACATTACACAAAAAGAATTACTGGATAAACAGTTTTGACTTTTGAAGAAATATATACATATACTACTAGAGTACACATTGAAGCATCTAGTTACGTCTCTTCAATTTGGACCTTTGGTTATATTTGAAAAAATGGCATTAAATCCCTCCATGGGACACTACATCCTGGCGAAGATGATCTCATAGAGTAGTAAGGAGGGCCGCGATTATGTGTTTTATAGCGAAAACAAATGGAGTGTATAAACAAAGCGACCATAGTGGAAATAATGACGATAATTTTTTATTCAAGATCTATATCATTCCTTCAAGGACTGGGTTAGTTTAGTTCACTGACAGGAACTATAGAACTGAACTTTCACGTATTCTGCTATATATTTTCGTGAATTCTAACATCATCAATGAATGGTTGCAACAGAAAACGAGGTGGTCACTCCCATCATATAATTTGTAGTTTACCCATTGAACATAGTTCTAGTCAAAAGCGGGTAAAAAGTTATCAGAGTAATTGATACATATATTTCAAGTCTACGTATGCTGTTACTGCTTTTTCTTCTTTCACCCTCCAGGACGATGCGAACCGACATATTCATCAAACCCCTCCTGTAAGATTCTTCTCTATTGAACCAGCTTTCAAACAAAAGAAACTGCATTGAAATCGGTTCATCCGTTTGGGAGCTACGATGCCACAGAAAAATCCGCAGACAGATAAAGGCTTCAAGATTAAGAGTGGCTTAAGTGCTTACTATTGAAATCGGTTCATCCGTTTGGGAGCCACGGTGCCACACATGTAGTCTATCAAAAGTCATCAATACACCACAGTATGCATTTCCGTATAGACTAATAAACCTTACCATCTTAATGATGGGTAGTTGTTTTCCCTTAGAATAGGTTTATATTCTCTAGGGGTTTTACATTTACTAATTTTAGTAAATACAGTCTGGCATAATTCATATGATTACACTGGCGTAGACCACAAAATTCCATAAAATTAGAATAGGGCGTGTTTAATTTAGGGGAGCACCTTGCAGATTCCGGGAAATTGAAGTCCCCTACAATTATCTCTTGATGAAGGTGGGCACAAAACTCACTTAATACTTCCAAGAATAATTATATATTACAAGTAGGCGTTTTAAGGGAAAAATACGTCGACACAATGTATGCACCTTACAGGAATTATAGAAAATTTTCCCTGCTACAACATCTGTTAGTACATTGTCTTCAGCCACCATTAAAGAGTAACTCAAATTATTACTGACATCCAGATGTCATAGAAAAATCCACAAAAATCTTTACAGGATTCGCTTCGCATATAGTTTCCAATTTAAACTGTAAAATTTTGTATATTTTTGATGGCATCACATGCAATCTCATGAACTATCTTGCGTTTTAGACTCCCCCCGACAACTCCATGAAACTTAGTGTTATCGCGATATTATGCATTCGAAATTAATTATATATTGGCATGCAAGGATGAAAGTATATTAAACGCTCGAATTGCCTACAGCGCGACGTAGTTGAATAATCACAATATGAACAAGGTGCGGGCGTATATTTCCGTAGGAGCAGGCAATCCTAGGTGAATCAGCAATAACTGAGACCAAGCTTTATGTCACTAAGTAGTATGTTTTTTTTTTATATTATACCCCAAATATCTACAGCTCTTATTTTTCTATTTTTACATGGAGTAGAATTAGTTTTCAAATAGCGATTGCATTAGAGTTATCATTCACCTAGATTAGATCCATGTCGGCTCAAGCTGTGTCACATTGCATGTTGAAACGACTTATCTTTAAATCTTACTGCAAATGAATTACTAATCTAATAAATTCCCTGATATGCTTCCATTTGGTTGGCAAATAGCAGAATCTTTGTTACGGCAGGCGAACTTTTTACAGTAGGTCAAATTAAGTTTGTTTCTGTAATTTATGAACCTTCTAAATGTCTATTGAACCAAAGATATTATTATCTTTTTTTGAATATATACCTGGTGTGCATGTCTCCTGTGTTGCGGACGAAGTTCTTAGAGGTTGGCAGTTACAAGTAGTATACCGAAATAAAGAACAGAAAACGGAGCAAAATGAAGTAATAAAATACTGGGTCTTCTAACTGAAAAAATGAAATCTATTTATTTATATTATCAAATGTAATTATTGAAATTTTTCACTGGTTTTCATCTGGCTCAAATACAAGTCACCCTTGGGATTCCACAAGGGTCTATTCTTGGACCTTTGGTTTTTTTGTTGTTGTTGATATAGCTTGTAATCTGTATTCTTAGTGCCTTTTATATGCTCATGACTTTAAGGTATTTAGAAAAATCTCGTATACCTCAAATTTCAAACATATATCTATTGTTAAAAAACATGAACATTGCGCCCAGTAAATATGGACGAGTTTGCGGCCAACATTTCTGTGAAGATCAATGGGAAATATATGGCCAAAAATTAAAGAAAACCGCAGTTCCTTCAATTTTTCCCTGTGCAACGGAGAGTAATAGTTCAAATAGTAAGCTTTTCAGTGAATCTTTTCAGTTTGAATCTCCCTTGTCAAATAATTCTCTTTCTTCTCAACCTCTCTGGCCTGAATTTGTTTCGTCTAAACCGTTAAAGTGCAAACAACCACCTGACTATGTAACGCTACAGAAAGAAAATTATACGCTAAGAAAAAAAGTTAGATTGTTAAAAATTCGGCACAAAAAATTAAGCCAGAAATTATACTTGCAAAAAGTGTGTAATGTAAATTTAAGGAAAAATTTGGCAAATATATTAACAAAGGATCAAATTGAAGCTCTAAAAGGGAAAACATTCAAAAAATGTTCCGAACAAACAATCACTAAATCTTTGAAGCTTAAATTTGGATGTGGGGCCATTGGATATAACTTATTAAGAAAAATGAAACTCCATTTCCAGCTATTCGAACATTGAATTTTCATTTACAAAATTTAGAGTTTAAATCTGGAGTTTTGGATGAAGTATAGGGTTTTTGAAAATTAAATATAAATAAAAGCTGGGATTGATTAATATGTACATAGTGGGACGTATATTGGGGGAATTACTTTACCAAAACATGAGGACGTAGTGACAAAAGCGTTGGTAATTCTTGTGGGGGGTATAACTACTCGCTGGAAACAAATTTTTTCATACTATTTTACTGGAGACAGAATGAATGGGGCAATTCTAGCTGATGTTCTTAAAGATGTTTTTAAGAAAATCAGTGCAATTGGTTTGAAGGTTCATTCTGTAACCTCAGATATGGGATCGGTGAATCAAGCTATGTGGAAAATCTTTGGAATAAAAGCTGGAAGAAAATGCGAAACTAGAAATTATTTCCTAAACCCAGTTAATGGCGAAAAAATCTACTTTTCAGCAGATGGGCCACATTTATTACAAAATATAAAGCAATGTTTGGTACAAAACAAAATCATTCAATTACCAAATGATTTTGTTGAAAAATATAAATTGAGAAATGGTAAAATTGCTAATCGAAAGATCCAAAAAAACGAAAAACTGAGAATTGCAGAAATGGAGAAATCGCAAAATTGAAAAATCAAAAATTAAGTATTCGAAAAATCAAAAAAGTCAAAATTTGAAAATTGAGCAATCGAAAAATAGAGAATCAAAAATGAAAAAAAAAGGGCAATCGAGAAATTGACAACTTCCCAAAATCGAAAAATTGAGAAATCGAGAAATGGAGAAATTGAGAAATCGAAATATCAAATAACTGAGGATTCGAAAAATTGAAAATCGAGAAATCCAAAAATGGAAAAATCGAAAACGGAAGATATTGGGAAATCGAGAACTCAAAAAATCGAAAATGAAAAAATCGAAAAGCAAAAATATTAAAAAATCCAACCGTCGAAAATATGTAAAAATTGAGAATTCGAAAAATGTAAAATTTAGAAGACGAAAATCTGGAAATCGAGAAATCGAAAAATGGAGATTAAAAAATTTGAGAAACTGGGACATCGATAAATCAAAGAATTATAAATCGAGAAAACTAGAAATCGAGAACTCAAATATGTAATTAGAAGATTGAAATATCGAAAAATAGAAAAATCGGGAAATCAAGAATTCGTAAAATCGCTAATCGAAAGATCCAAAAAACGAAAAACTGATAATATCAGAAATGGAGAAAAATCGAACTAACGAAAATTCTAAAAATGAAGAAATCGAACAATCGAAAAAACGAAAAATTAAGAATTAGAAAAATCAAAAAAGTCAAAATTTGAAAATCGAGCAATCGAAAAATAGAGAATCAAAAATAAAAAAAAGAGCAATCGAGAAATTGAGAACTTCCCAAAATCGAAAAATTGAGAAATCGAGAAATGGAGAAATTGAGAATTCGAGAAATCGAAATATCAAATAACTGAGGATTCGAAAAATTGAAAATCGAGAAATCCAAAAATGGAAAAATCGGAAACGGAAGATATTGGGAATTCGAGAACTCAAAAAATCGAAAAGCAGAAATATTAAAAAATCCAACCGTCGAAAATATGGAAAAATTGAGAATTCGAAAAATGGAAAATTTAGAAAACGAAAATCTAGAAATCGAGGAATCGAAAAATGGAGATTCAAAAATTTGAGAAACTGAGACATCGATAAATCAAGGAATTATAAATCGAGAAAACTAGAAATCGAGAACTTAAATAATTGGAAGATTGAAATATCGAAAAATAGAAAAATCAAACTCGAAAAATCGGGAAATCAAGAATTCGTAAAATCGCTAATCGAAAGATCCAAAAAACGAAAAACTGATAATATCAGAAATGGAGAAAAATCGAACTAACGAAAATGCTAAAAATGAAGAAATCGAACAATCGAAAAAACGAAAAATTAAGAATTCGAAAAATCAAAAAAGTCAAAATTTGAAAATTGAGCAGTCGAAAAATAGAGAATCAAAAATGAAAAAAAAGGGAAATCGAGAA